TGTCCTTCTCTTTACTAGGTTAGACATTTCCTGCAAGGATTCTTCATATGTTTGTATCCTCTCGTGCAGTGGTCTCCAACCTTGGCAACTTTAAGACTTGTGGACTTTAACTCCCAGAGTTCCTCAGCCAGCTTTGCTGCCTGAGAAACTCGGGGGGTTGAAGTCCACAGGTCTTAAAGTTGCCAAGGTTGGAGACCACTGGCTTAAAGATTAGACTGGGGCAGTCTTGCAGGTAATTGTGGGTTGACTGCTGGGGCAGAACCAGGTTGGTCTATTGAAAAGCTGAGGAAGAAGCAAATCTGAAGGAATTTGCTTATAAAGGGGAACAACTGAGGAGAGAGCATAATGTGAGATGACAGTGAAGTTTTAAGAAGATAGCAAAACACATAATTCAAATTAAAGACTGATAAGTTTTCTGATGGTAACATATATTTCAATGGAACAAATAGATATAGATCATGGCATGTTGAATTTTTGCAGTTTCCAAGATTGGTTTTAAGATGTAGAAGTTTACTTGCCATACTAGGTAATAGCACCAGTGGAATTTTGGATAAACCAAGATTCATTGACCGGCTGAGGTTACATATCTTTCGATCTCGCCTTCTTTGTATGTGGTGGGTGGATGTTGTTTTGCAAATGATGCCTTGTTGGTAAATTATTTAACAGGTAAGGTATTCTATCTTACTTGTATGTTGCTTGTTTCCTGCATTATAGCTGTATGAAGTGATAGCCCGTTGGGAGGATGGCATTCTTTTTTGTGGGTGGTTGTTGAATTGTCATTATATTTGTGATAAGGAGATGACTCTAGCTTGTGAGTGCTGACTGACTGCTTTGTGATAGGAAGGAATGTTGTTGGGTATTGAGTTGGCCTACTATTACTGGACCTTGATTATATTTTTGACAGGTACATAACTAAGAGTTTTATCCTCTAGGCTGGGTTGGAGTGACATGTTTCTAAAAATTCTCTTGCATTTTTCAATCCTTGAAACAGTTCTTTTTGTAGTTCTACTGTTTCTAAGGAGTTACTCTCCAGGAGCATGATTAATAAAGTTTGGTTTGGTTTATTGGATTTATATGCCACCCTTCTCTCAAAAAGGGCGGTGTACAACATTAAAAAAAACACATATTACAAAAGTTTAAAAAAATAAATAGAATATTCAAAACAAACCCAATAAAGATTAACAATAACATTTTTTTAAAAATGATTAAAATTAACAATAATTTGTTTTGTTCAGGCTAGGCTGGCTTGCTGGAAAAGCCAACTTTTTAGGGCGCCCCTTCGTGGA